GGTGTGTGTGCATGTGGAGGCCAGAATTTGGCACTAGATGTCTTGCTTGATTATTCTCTGGTTTATTTTCAGAGACAAGCTTTATCACTGAACCTGGAGCTCGTCAATTCAGTTAGGCCAGTGAACTCCAGGCATCCACCTGTCTCCGTCCTCAGAGCACTAAGTTAACCCGCATGCACGTCCCCTTACCTGGCTTTTTTGTGTGAGCACTAGGGACTCAAACTCGGGTCTTCATTCTTGTGTGGCAGGCATCACATCAACTGAACTATCTCCCTAGTACCACCAACTATGTGCTTTTAAGTCTTTCTTACAGGAGCTACCATGAGCTAGGTGTGTAGATGAAAGTTTCTGTCCCACCCAAATCCTGCAGCCATCCAGTCCCAAATAAACACACAAAGGCTTATATTAATTATAAACTATTTAACCTATTGTTCAGACTTATTACTAACACATTCTTACAACTTAAACTAACCCATAATTCTTATCTATGTTTGGCCACATGGCTTGGTACCTTTTCTCAGTGAAACATTCTCATCTTGCTTCCTCTGTGTCTGGATGGTGACCGTATCTTTGCCTTTCCTCGTCCCAGAATTCTCCTAGTCTGGTAGCCCTGCATCTACTTCCTGCCTGGCTACCAGGCAATCAGCATTTTATTAAACCAATATGAGTCACAAATCTTTACAGTGACCAAGAACATTATCCCACATCATAGATATGCTTTTAGGTCTCTAATACAGTAATTCAACCCATAGAGTCACTACGAGAGGCAGTTCTGTTGTTATCTTCATCCTACATGTGGGAAAAGTTGAGGCACAAGGAGTTCAAGTAGCTCTCCCAAAGACACAAGGCTAGAAGTGACACAGATTTTGTGAAGGTTCAAAAACCCAAAGAGGCATCCTTGAAAAGGCAAAACTAATCAAGAGCAAGAAGGGTGGGGTCAAAGAAGAGTGGGAAAGGCCACGCAGCCTGACTGTTCACTAAGCCATTCAACACCCATCTCAAGCATCTCTGTCTGGCTCTTCAATGAGAGTGGTGAGTCCAGAGTTTAATCCATAGACAGTGCTCAAAGTACAGTAGAGGAGTCAGGCAAACACACACACACACACACACACACACACACACACACACACACACCATGGAAAATATCAGAAGGGGCAAGTCTATGGCACCATAAACCTGAATAGGAGCTAAATGTAGCTAAAATCAGGTTCAGAGGTGTTCTTTGTGCTGGAACAGAAGGATGAGTTAGCTAAAAGAAGGGCGTAAAGAAAGAGTCCAAGATGAGGCACTGGGGTATAAACCAGCCCTGCGATGGGATGGAGTTGGGCCAGTCTGAAGGAAGAATACAAAGTCATGCTGGCAAGAGAAGTCATGAGACAGATCACCTAGACCTTGAAGCAAAGCCTGCAGGGAGGAAAATGACAGGAAGGGGAGACAGACTCAGTGCAGGTCTTTAACGAAGCACTTCAACTTCTTTGTTTTCTCTTTGCAGTTTAGCAGAGCCCAGACAGGACCTTGCGCGGATTGCTTCAGAGATGCGCAATCAAAGCAGCCAGACTTGTGTGTGTTGGATGGTGGGAGGTTAGAGAGACAGGGTGAAATGTTCAGAAGGAGAACAACAGCAGCCAAACAGTCTAGGTCTAGAAGCAGTTAACCCCTTCCTATCCTTGATATCTTCATCAACCCAGGCACTCTGCAAAATAATAAGCCGTCATTTATCAGCGTTCTGCAAGGTAGCACTTAAAACTGAACTCGGGCAATAAATCAGGCACATATAATTTGAGCCCTGAAGTATAGTAATTCTTCTTTTAATGCAACATCTGGTATAGATAATGGTGTTTGCAGGGGAGAGGGAGCGGGGAACGCTATGCCCAGCTCTTGTGACTATGCATGCTGAGTTTGAAAGCCCATTTCCCTCCCACCTTCTCAGCAACCCCGCAGCCTTGAAAAGGAATGTTTGTTACTATTACTCCCTCAGCTGGCCAAGCGGGGAGTGAGTTAATTATAGACTTGTTTGTTGGCTATTAATTGGACTCAGCTAAACATGAAATCACGGGGGAAGTGCCATTTCCCTGTTCCCTGCCTTCAGCCTCAGGGAGTCCCGGAGTTGTCCCTGCTGTCTCTGCTGCCCACCAGCACCATCCCCCTTCCTGTTTCCTCTGCACATTTCCTCAGGAGGGTCGCAGAGCCTTTGCCCTGTGGGCAAACAAAATCTTATATTTATCTGGGGTGGAGCACAGGGTTGAAGGCTCTTGAGCAGCAGGAAACAATGGGAGGAAACTTGCAGACACCAACTGCTCAGAAACAGCTGGACTGGCAGGGTACCACACTCTTGCTCTCAGCTCCCAGGTCCTCAATAGGATGTCCCAACTCCTCTTCACACTTCCTAGGAGGCAGCTACACCGCAAGAGGTAGTGACCAGAAGGGCAAGTTTCATGACTGGGGCGGGGTGGGGGTGGGGTGACACCAGAGATGACAATGTGTCCCACTTTCTGTACCCATGGCATTGGGTAAGGTACTGATTTAGTTCCCTCGTGCCAGTTGTGTCTGCCAGCACCCATGCCCCAGGCATGCAATGGGCATTAAAGGGGATGAGTTTTGTCCAGGGCTCAGCAGGGATCCTGGCATATGCTTGTTTCTAAATAATGGTTTCTTCTCCTCAGTCTTCCATCACTGCAAAGACAGCCTTCATGTGCTTATCTCCCACGTGGATATCCCATTCTAAGGTACCCGGAACCTGGTGCATCTCAAAATGTTTTTTAAATGCAGCTTTGCATAGTTTTAATATGAGAGACAGAGGCCACCATCGACGATTCTTGGACAGTTAAACAACCAGAGCAACCAGCGAATTCATAAATGTTAGTGGCTGAATTCTCTGGAAATTGTCCTCAGTGTGATTACAGAAGAGTTATGGGAGATAGCAAAGTACCCGATCAAGGGGCCGAAGAGATGGCTCTGAAGTTAAAAGCACTGGCTACTCTTGCAAAGGACCAATATTCAGTTCTCATCACCCACATTGTAGCTCACAGCTGTCTACAACTCTAGCCCCAGGGGATCTGACGCCCTCTTCTGACCTCCATGTCACTACAGAGACATGGCACACAGACACCCATGCAAGCAAAATACCTACATACAAGAAGGAAGAAAGAAAGGAAAGAGAGCATCCCGTAGCTGTTTGCAAAGTCATGTAGGTTTAGCAAATTTCTTAGCAAAATCTAGTTAGAGTATCAATTTAGCCTCCTCAAAAGTTCCCTGTGTATATATTCTGTCTTTGTCTAGAAAGAGCAGAAGTCACCCCTGCTTGATTGGCATTAACCAGACTATATCTTGAACAAGAAGAGCCAGTGACTGAATTGTAACAAGTGATTTCCTTCAAAAAGCCATGAGAATTTTCCCCTGCTGCTAGTCACATCAAAGAAATAGAAATTCTTCCAAGGAAATGTAAATAAAACTTGTGAGAATCATGCCTGTACATGGCTTATGACCCCCAAGCATGATATTCTTCACACATCCTTGTACTGAAAACAAAAGACTTGAGCCAGCATGAAGATGTCTCAGTCCGCCATTAGGGCAGCCATGCACAGCCTGTCAAAGCCTAGAACAGCACCAGGCTTGCAACTTTACTTAGTACTATTCCATTCCATTCAGCTGATCTCCCTTTTCATTGCTTTTGATACATTGTTTCCACTTTCCACTCATCTCCTGTCTGCCGCTTGGATTGAGTGGGAACTATTCCACTACCATGCCTATGACACAGAGACACACTCCTGACCAAGAGCTGAGCAGTACCCACAGGGGAGACAGAAACTGAATGCAAGATGACACAGAGTGACTGTTGAAATTTCACTGAGTGCTGGATTTTAAAAAGAACCTACAGCCAAGTAATTCACATCTTGGTTGGTTTCCTCCAACTCTGCTCAGGAGTGATTGCACCCATTTTGAAGGCGGAGAAGGACACTAAACAACAAAGGCAAAAACACAGCCAGTGTAAAAGGAAGGAAAAGAAAGAGGAGGAAGGGGGCAAAATGTGTGCAAATTGTAAAGTGCTATATCTGAAAAAGTTAGGGCAATTTTCATTCCTGTACCCTGGGGCACCAAGCTTGATCTCCCTTTGAGGATTGGAAGACTGCTACATTAGCATTTCCTTCTTGTTTTCCTTTCTCTTGCCTTCTATAAGATGGGACAGGGTAAAGAGTGAGAAGCAGACGTCTATGTCCTTTTGCTTGTCGAGAAAATTCTTCACACACCAAGCAGCAACTTGAAAACATTAACCTAACTATTCTAGCTGCAATATGGAAACAAGAACAGCAAAACTGCATTAAATGAAATAACACTGCATTTATATGTGCACAAACACATGCACATAACATACACATGCATATACACATAAACATGCATGTACACATATACGTGCATGTAACACACACATGCATGTACATATACACATACACCGTTCTAGGAAATAGCAAGTTTCTCGTCTTATTTCTCCTCCCTTTCCTTTTCCTTGCAATCCCTTGTTTTCCTTCCCTTCTTTCCCCCCTCTCTAGAGAGACCTTCATTTCGTAAGAAGATGAATCAGCATTCTAGTATCCTTGGCAAGAGGTTGCTGTCAGGGGGCGTACCCTGCCCTGTCAATCTGTGGCTTTAGCTTTGGCTCTAGGGACTTAAATCCACCCCCCCCTTTTTTTAAGGCAAAATAACTGGCATGCCCCTTGCTCCTAATTTTCCATTTGTTGTTCATGCTTTACCCATTGTATGAAGGGTGGAGTGCATCTAAGCAAACGGAAGTGGAGGAGACGAGGGAAAGGGGAGCATGGGAGGGAGTCATGGTTTTTATTTGCAGTTCTGAGAGCTTGTGACTTGTTTAATAAGAACATACCTTCTCCCCATTCCCAAGAGTTGAGCAATGGGGCCTTTGCAGTTCTCCTTCAACACAGAAAAGTGTGGGGCAGGCGTCCAAAGCGGGTCATGACTGTGGTGGCATGCCAGCATTTTAAAGATCCAATGTCTACAGAACTGCCTGCATCTCCTGGAACCTCCACAAGCAGAGCAGATTGGAAGATTTACTCTAAAATCTTTGCCTTCCTCTGAAAGCCTAGGATGCTTCCTCCTGTTGATGAGAAAGGTATGTCCAATACCTATCCTGAACCCAGGTTTATGTTACCAGCCTTGAGAACAAGTACAGAACAAATAAGGCAGTGGCAAGATTGACCATGTAGCTCAGAGAGGACCCTCTGCAGACTAGGTATGTGGGTCCAAATGTAGAAAAGTCTCAGAGCAAGAAGCAAACCCACTTGCTGGGAAGCAGTGCTTATTATTAAGCAGTTACATAACCCAAGAGGTGAGCTTCACAATAATGGAGCTTCCCTTCCATTGTAGATCTGGTCTGTCCAATGATGGTAGGAGGGGACAGGACTTTCCAGACATTATTGGTGATCTCACTTGGCCACATGCTACACATAGACACTGGAGCCCAGTAGACATAACAGCGGAGCTAGAATCTGCACATAGCTCCAACATCAGAGTTCATACCTGGCTGGCTGTCATATAATACCTAAAAAAACATGAAGAAATGGACAGGGAGGGGATGAATACAATTATTAAAGAAGACAGAAGAACCCAAAATCCAAAGCACAGATGAGGAAATTCATTATTGGTGCAAATAGCACCTTACTTTTTTTAATTTATAGCCTGGTGAATTAATGGTTCCTGTGTCCTCAAGAAAAGGTTAGAGAATGAGCAGCCCCCTCCCCCCACTGCAATAGGCAAGGAGCTTGTAATTAGTTTTAGAAGGCCTTCCATCCAAAACGATTAAATCAAGTTTTGGCACATGAAAGGGTAAGCTTCAGTTATTGGAAAATGTACTTAGGTGACACAGCTCATTTCCTGATGAAGCCAGATTAATGGGACATTACCGAACCTAATTCTTCTAGAAGTAAATGACTCACCTCTTCTCCTGCTGGGCTGCCTGGAGCTTTCCGTGGGTTTGGCTGCCTTTCATGAAAACCCAAGAGCTGGGATGGGAAACTCAGCTGTGGGGAGAAGTAAACAAATCAATCCCTACTTGGATTTCTGATTCTCTACTAATTGGGCCTTAAACTTGGTGCATTTGAAGAGCCAGACTAGAGCCCTACCCACAGGGTTTCAGAAAAAAAATTGGAGCTGACTGGGGAGGCCGAGTGATCTCAATGGCCATATGGATAGGGCTTTGGAAAGACAAGTCCGCAGGACAAACCCTTTGGAGGAGATGTGGTAGAGCGCCTTTCAGAAAGTTGGACATGGAGCACAAAGCTATTTATGTTTGTGCAGAAGTTCACAAGCAAATCAGCCATTGCCACATGACACCCAGATGAACAGTGTGTCCTACTTCATGTTACCCAGTTAGCATCATGCTTGCCCAACGGGGTCATAGCTATACAGAGAGGCTACCAGTGTTGTGGTGGATAAGCTTTGGTGAGATTGAACACATATCTGAGTGTTTTCCAACCCACACCTACAAAGATCAGTACTGACCCCATGGTACACACCACTTAACAAGAAGTACAACCAGCCACTGGTCTAGTCAGAACCCTGAATCCTATAGGAGCAAATAATCACTACCCCTCTGGTATTACACGATAAATAAAAGACCCAGAGACAGTTATTGGGGTTCAACCTGAAGATCAGGGAAGCAAAGCAGCCAGGTTACCAGAGAGCTCTTACCTCTAAAAGGGCTGGAATGGTCCTGTTCTGGAGAATGAATGCCTGATAGTCAGTCACCTTGCTCCTGTCTTACATACCTCCATAATGCTGGTATTAAAGGTACATGATCCCAGGTACTGAGATCATCTTTGTATGAGCTATAATTCTCTTTTAGACTGATTCAATCTTGTGTAGATCTGGGTGGCTTGGACTCACAGAGATTCATCTACTTCTTAAGCCTGAGTCCTAGGACTGAAGGTGTGCACCACCACCTCCTAGTTTCTGGCTGCTGGGATTAAAGGTGTGTGTCCAGTTTCTATGGCTTGTGGCTGACTGTACTTTCTGAAACCTCGGGCAAGCTATACTATATCATTACCCTCTAGATCAGACTTCATCGTGTGTTTTGGGCTGACTTCTTTGCCTATAATGTTTCTGACAATTCTACTGTCTTTGTTTGCTTCCTATTGCTGAAATAAAGGCTACCACCAAAAGATACTTGGGGAAGAAAGGATTTAGTTGCCTTATACACCCCTATCACAGATCATCATTGAGGGAAACCAAGGCAGAAACTGAAGGAGAACAAGAACCTGGAAGCAGGAACTGAAGCAGAGACCATGGAGGAGTACTGCTTGCTGACTTGCTCACCATGGCTCACTTATCTTGCCCAGGATTCCTGAGGGCTTGGGGGTGGCACCACATATAGTCATTAATCAAGAAAATGTCACACCAGTTTGCCCACCAGCTAATCTGATGGAGACATTTTCTCAGTTGATGTTCCCTCTACCTCGATGACTCTGGCTTGTGTCAAGTTGACATAAAACTAGTCAGCACACACACTAGCTATAGATAAAACAATACTGTATTCCCCATGGCTCCCTCATACTCTACCTTTGACCAAGGAACCCACTTAACAACAAAGAAGCAAGACAATGTGCTCATAACCAACCACAAAGAGTCTTAGCATAATGTATCATCATTCAGGAGCAGTCTACTAGAACGGTGGGACGAGCTAATGAAGACTCAGTTACATGTGCTTGTTAGATGACAGTACTTGCTAGGCTGGTGTTCTGAATTTCCAGTTCGTATTTGATGGTATTTTCCTGTTGCCAGAATTCTTCAGAGTGAGACCAACATGTGAGAAGAACTTCATTCATCATATCCTGTAGCAACCCAGTCACAAAAATTTTACTCCTTAGCTGGGTGTTGGTGGCGCACACCTTTAATCCCAGCACTCGGGAGACAGAGGCAGGCGGATCTCTGTGAGTTTGAGGCCAGCCTGGTCTACAGAGCAAGTTCCAGGACAGCCTCCAAAACAATACAGAGAAACCCTGTCTCAAAAAAATTTACTCCTATCCTGAAAAATGTAGCTGTAATGATTGACCGATATTGCTTCCAAGGACACACACACACACACACACACACACACACACAATAGAACATCTAAATGAAGTCAAGGCTATCATTTGACTGTCTGGTGCTCCTTTGAACCAACATAGCCACATGTAACACTTTATGGAAGGCCATAGAAACCCAACACATTCAAACCTACTATAAGTCAGGTGCTACGTGAATAAAGATCAGGATCACACAACCAGGCAAAGAACTAAATGAGTGGAAGAACCTGAGTGAGATAGGAGAACAAACAAATGTCACCAGGATTAATGAAGGCCTTAATCCACTATACCTGTGCAGTCAGTTGCTGATGTGAGCAAGGCTGTAGCTATGTATGCCGCCATCTTCAGCTGCCCCAACTCCTGCTAGCTTCTGAATAAAACGTGCATGCTCTCTCCTAGAGATTGTCTTTCTAGCTTTTCTAGCAGACAACTCTGCTTTCTATTGAGACTGATGAGCTATGCTGCAAGGGAGTTAAAGCTCTGAACATCTAAGAAAAATGGCAACTATGCCCTGCAAGTAAGTATGTGTGTGAGCTACAGGTACTCTTGCTACTGCCCAGCCCACAGTCCTTTGCATTATCCTAAATGAGCCTATTTTCTTTGTTCACTGGTCTGAATGATGAATTCATACACCACCCACCAATCTTCTGCCTGCCCAATGAGGAGCAGTCAATCATAGGAAATCAAACAAAGAAATAATATATGTTGGACACCACCCATGAAACAGATGACATCTGATGTGAGATCTGAAGTTTAGATGAGGAGAGCTGTAATTGGCCAGAGGAAAATGTCATATTGCACAGAGTTCCTGTGCCACGGTTCACAGCTATCTTGAGAATGCCAGTCCTTCTCTGAAATTGAAATTGGTGTTCAGAACAAATATTTGTCTACTATGGAAAAGTTAAATAACTTGACCAACATCAAGTTATCTGGAAGTGCTATTACAATATGTGTTCCTCTGGGGTCATGTGTAGATTTCTCTGCAACTATCGAGTAATGAGATAAGAAGGTAGTTCTATTCATCAGGACTCAATAGCTAGTGCTGGTCCAAACTTCAAGAGTCTAACACCAAGTAGTTTATTGTGGGAATATTTAAGCACAGCACAACTTGGTGAAAAAAATTCTCATGATAATTAATATTGTACACACAATTCCATGTGTACAATAAAGTTTAAGACATGACTACATCAAAACTCTTCATAAAGTACATGTTAACATCTTCCAGATAGATGGATTCTATAGATTGACTACATGTGACATCTTAAGGGTCTGGAAAAGGACCTGATGTGGTCTCCATCATGCAGAAAACACAAAAGTCACTAGGCTATTAACCATCTCTGCTCCCAGTCTTCTGGGCAGAAAACAGGCTATACATCTCCCTTTGAAGAGACAACCCTCTGTGTTTAACAGTCACGGTTTCCCTACGAACACAAGATCTGTGCTTATCTGTGCCTCCTACAGCCGTGCTCAAAGTTGCCACCAAACGCATCTCCTTCCTCCTTGCCAAAGGACAATGAAGCTCTCAACCAGAAGAGTAAGAGCTGAACTTACTAGGTCCACATGACTGTAAACCACAGTGAGGTATGCTCATCGGTCCAGACGCAATGGCTTGACTTCTAAGATGCCAGAGCAGCGCGCACTGAGCCCCGTCTTGTCCACCGGGGGTGGGGGTGGGAGATTCTTAACCAGGCCTTGTTGGTTCTTCAACCCCACTTTTTAGATGAACCCCTGCCACATCCCTGATCTAAGCCCCAAACCAAACTTTAATTTCCTTTGTGGGAATAAGGAATGGTCCGTGTAAGAATAAAACTGCTACTGACCACAGGGAAAGGGAAGAAAAGAATCTGGAGAGCAAAGCCCACAGCTGCCTCCCAGGGAAGTACCCTTAATGAAGACAACGGCTGGATTGTTTTCCCTGCACAAAGAAACCTTGCAGTCCCCAACCTGGAAGCCACTCGCTGTCTTTTTCTATTTCTTTCCTTGAAACACAATTTATTGGACCCTCTGCCAGATCTCTGGGGAAAGGGGAGGGGACAAGGGGCTGGCAGTA